CTGGAAATACTCTTCTGATTGCCTCTTACACCGCCTTATCCCCATCTGTTAGTACGGACACAGGTGCTTTATTGTCCATCGCCTCCATAAATGTTTTCAAAACCCATGGGTATGTATCAATCGTCTCATTAGCTAGCAAAACACATGCAAATATCGTGGTCGTGAAGTGGTTAGTCACACTAGCCAACATGACAAAAGGTATCTTGTACGCATTGGTACAGTAAGTTGAGTCAAATATCAACACATCACCAAACTTTGCGTAGTCAGCCTGCGATTTCGAATCTGCCCAGAATAGATTTTGTAACTTGTTATCCTTACACACACATCACACTTGTAAAGAAAATGTGGGTCAACATCAAGTTTTGCACACAGGTAAACCAAAGCACCCTACATATCACCATCCTCAACTTTTGCTCTACGTTTGGCTTAAATATGGTTGTGCAGATTCGTACGAATGAAACCAACATTCTTATAACACCCGGATTGATTTACCATATAGTCCATGATTTTGCTAGTCTTCACACCGACATTGCGCATAGTCATTGCTTGAGCTTTGTCATCGCTGTTTAAACGCCGATGTGACCTCAGATACATCACAAAATGTTGTTCCGCCAATTCATGGTTGTGGTCTGTGATGAAGTGAGTCACAACATACTTTCCTCCTTCACCAGCCTCTGGATCATACCGTATACGAAATTGTGCATTGCAACCTACTATTGTTAGTGCCTTAGGAGCACTTCTCTTCTCTGCAACACGGTCCAAGTATTTTGGTAATCTCTGACCTTCCTTTGAACACAACCATAGCCTACTAACAACATTTCCCTGTTTATTTGTGTTAAATCTGAATTTTCGTAAACTAAATCCCTTGGCTTTAGCATTTGCATTGTAAAAAGCTTCTCCATCTTCAACCGAATCAAATTTCTATTCCAGAATAGCACGTTCAACCTCACCAACCATGTCATCGCCATGAGCATCGTCAACCATTTCTTGTTTCACATCGGCTCGGCCATTTTCAAAGTTTATGTTGGTTGCTTCTTCATTACGTGGACTAGCTTCGCAACCATGACAACGTTCCGCCCGACTTTCATTGATCAAATGAATGTCATCTACTTCATTTGGAATGTCATAATCAACACCTTCGCTTTTAACTTCGGCTAGGGCCATACTGCACATGACATTAGTACAAACAATTACTTGATGACTAAAAAATGGTAACACAAACACAAACATGACATTTTAACACGATTGGATTTTTTGTGCAAACACAAACAATCGATTGAGAACGAGAGAGGTTACTTGGCGATGGAGGGGTTTCACTTTGAGCAAAGCGTACAGGGGTTAAAGTTAGGATGAGGGCTTAGTTGAGGGAAAATCGTTGAAGTGAAGATACCAGAGAGAGAGAGACAGAGACAGGGAGACAGCTCCATACCTGATATCTAGTTGGAGAGAACGCCTTCACTTCAGCAATGGAACCCCACAGAGCCTTGTAGCTCTGTTGTTGCTGGAAATCAAAGGTTATATTGTTCCCTACAGAGCTTCGTCAATGGAACCCAGTAGGGGCTTGTCGTTGTTAATGGAAATCAAGGGTTACACACTCAACTTTACAGAGATGAAGACAACAAGAGAGATAGGGAGAGAGAGAGAGACGAAATAGAGAGAGTGAGGAAAGTGGGATGCAATCATTCAAATAAGAGGATTAACCGGTTGCCCCGGTTTCACATTTTTTATAATTAAACAATTCAATGGTGTGAATCATTTATTGTAATCTAACAGTTAAAAATTGAGTTGCATATGGTGTGCAATCTTAAAGGGATTGCATACCTAAACAACGCCCTAAATTATATAGTTGAATAGTTGAGAAAAGAGTCATGAGATGAATTGTAGACGCTGATATTTTAGATTTCACACACACTAGAGGCAAAGTCCAAGTTTTACAAGTGATTGCATGTATTCAAGAAGAGCAAGGCACATCAACACTTTAGCATTAACAAAATAATAATAATAATAATAATAATAAATAAATAAATAAATAAGAGGAGAGAGATAGAGAATAAACTTCATTTATTTTTCACTACGCATCAAGTAACTAGTTTGACATATTCTAGATGTCATACATAAGGAATGATGAACATTTGTCTCTCACGTGACCAAGACTTGACAAATACATGTGTTGAAAAACAGGTTGGAAATATATGCAAAGCATTGTCTACTGCTCCTCCTATTTCCATCATTGATCTGTCACCAAAAAAAGCTTTTAAGTTTAGGTCAGACTCATGGCTGATATTTGATGCTACTAAAACCTTTTTGTACGCTAGACAACATAACTATCAATTGCGACGATGTACGAGTTGTGAAATGTTTGGTGGTGAATTTTTTATTTTTTATTTTGGAACAATAATCAGTCTGTTTTGGTTTGAGTTTTTTTGATTAAGTTTTTAAAAATTGAATTTTTTGATTTTCGTATTCTTTTGTTTTTAGTGAATTTTTTTTAAATTTTAAACATTTTTTTTAAATTTTTTTAGATGCACCTTAGTTAGATATATCTAAAAAGTAAAAAAATTGTGAAAAAATATTTTAAAAAATTAATAAATACATAGAAATACAAAAAATGTACTGAATTCTTATATTTTTTTTTATATTTTTGGTATTTAGTAAATTTTTAAAAGATTTTTTTTTACAATTTTTTTACTTTTTAAGTGTATTTATGTTAAGTATGTCTAAAAAATAAAAAAATTACTTAAAATATTAAAAAAATTTAGTAAAAATAAAAAAACACGAAAAATAAAAAAGACGATGGTGGAAAATGGTGACGGGTGGTGGCTAATGTTGGGTGATAAAAAAAAAAACTGAAAACTCAAAATGGAAACACATTTTTTGTGTTTTCATTTTTTGGCCAAATTTATAAACTGAGACCACTGATTTATAAATCAAAAATTTTACCAAACACATTTTTATTTGAGTTTTTTAAATTTTTGTAAATATAAACAGAAAACTGAAAACGTAAGTGTTACCAAACGGCACCTAAATATTTTTCTGCGTAGAAGCTTTCTCCCTTTGCGAAAGTCTTTTTGTTTAACTTTTAAAATACGTAATCTAAGCCATTCACAGGGATTTTCCGTACGGCTTAAAAAATTATTTAAAAAGTCAAAAAGTGAACACTATTTATCAAAAAAAATATATTAAAAAAAATATTTTTCACATATTAATACAAATAAAAAAAATACAATTAACAAGGTACTGACGTGATGGGCCCGTCAGTGACCGGAAAAAAAAATAGGGAGTAAAATATTCATTAAATTGGACGGTAGAGCTAGGCCCGTGGGGGTTCACCATGGATCCCGTTTTGATAATCTGAACCGTTGAATATGTAGAACTCTTATAGTACTAGATGCCTATAAAAAATTACGCCTATCGGATTTCTCTAAATATATGATCAAATCAGTTTTGTATAAAAATGGATGATGTTATAGTTAATAGTTAACAAAAAAATTAACACGATCAGATAGCTATCGATATCCAATCAACGTGATTTTTTACAAACATATAGTACTCGACGATTTCTACACATTGAACTGTTCCGATTAGTAAAACGGGACCTGTGGTAGGCCCCCATGAGCCGAACAAAACCGACCAATTTATGCCCGAAAAATAGAGAATCAACCTATTCCAAAGTCCACTGCCGCGCCCTTTAAGCTGCCAGCCGTACGACTTATTCGTTAATTATCCTATATACTTATTTATATAATTTTTTAACACATATTTTTTCATAAAAAGTCAAAAAATTAATCTAAATATTCATATTTTTTCCTCAATTTTTTAATCTAAAAAAATAAAAAATACACTTATTTAAGATACCCAAAAATAGGTTATAGAGTACCCCGATGGGTTACATGTTTTAGACCCAACTCGGCTATTTAACTTCTGTTTTTTATAATTAAAATAATATTATATATTAATAAAAAAAAATTTCAATTTTTTTACCACTAGGTAGAAAATTAATGGCCCTACACTATTAAACACATGTAAGACCCATTATTTTATGCCTACTTATAAGAAAATTATTTTTGTAACATTTTGTTTTAATTAATCACTCTAGTTCTTGGGGGTGAAACATTGGCTTTGTCCAGCTGACTCTCTTCGGAGATCTCGTACTGTATTCCGATCAATACTTGACATTTTCTGTGACACGTGGCTAAACTCTATTGGATGCCTCAATAGCGAGTCTCTTTCTTTGGATTGGGTTAAATCTCACCGTCAACTAGCTACCCTAAGGACAAGGCCTATCAATGTTGTGATATCTCGTGGAGCATCCTTTTTTTCGATCAAAAAATGAAAAAAAAAAAAAAAAAAAAAAAAAAAATTCACAATGTATCTTTTTTGACTAATATTATATTATAAGAGAGTTGAACTCAAATTTTTTAGAAGTAGAACTAAGAAATGAATATTGTTAAAAATTTGGAGGCATCTCATGTTTGTTAAACAAATCAAACTACTTGAGACCTACTCGTATTTAACTCGTTTAAAATTAATTACAAGTTAACTTTAAATACTTTTAGAACTTGTTAAATTTTCAAAATAAACTTGAACAACCTCCTACTCAAAATCTACTCGAGGTTAACTTGTGTTTAGATTGTTAAAAATTCGTTCGAGATTCGCTTATTATAAAAATAAATAAAATTAGAACAACCTATTACTCGACTTAAATCGATTGGCTTCAACCCTAATTAAGTGGAGAGTGGTTTAAATTATATTAACTAAACTGGTGTAATTTACAGAGACGATGAAGGATAAGTCTCTAATACCTTTGGGATGAAATAATTGACCAGTGAAACTTACGGAACAAGATTGGGTAATGACGATGGCACATCTATAATAATCTATATATATATATAAAGTGTAATGCCAAATTTATTTATTTATTTTACTTGGAGGAGACTCATTCAACTAAGAACTTCTCTAATCAATTGCTTAAAAGATGAGGACTTTGAAAAGTAGAATGGCCTGCCCTTAGTCAAATCTCTCTCTCTCTCTCACACACACACACACACACACACACACACACACATAACCCAGTCAACCAGACATTTCTACAATTCATATTGCATGAAACATTTCTCATAGCTTCATTTGCAAAGTAACAAAGACGTTACAAGCCAGTCTTGGTTGAAGTAACCATGAGTTCTGATAACCATGGAACCAAAATCAGTGACGGTACTATTGAGGCCATGTTCGGAGTCATATTTGTCTTCATCGGCGCTGTAGTTCTCTTCACCATGATCCGAATCTACTCCATGTATTGCCTTAAAAACCAACAAAGAAGGCGCCGAACCACCATTAATGGAGTTGCACCACCACCAACAGACCTGCACTCAGCCGAGCAACCCAGAACAGGCCTCGATCAATCCACCATAGATTTGATACCCAAGTTTGTTTACAAAGCAAACCACCACCGGTTGAGTCAAGGCGAGGACGACAGAGAGTGCTCAGTGTGCTTAAGCAACATAATTGAAGAAGCCATAGTTAGGCTTCTACCAAACTGTAAGCACTTGTTTCATGAAGATTGTATTGATGTGTGGTTGAGATCTCACATGACTTGCCCAGTTTGTCGTGCCATGGTGGATCCTGGGGCTCAGGCAGAGAACGATGAGTTGCGCGTAGCGACGGAGCCCACAGCTCAGGCGGAGAACGATGAGTTGAGAGTAGCGATGGAACCCACAGCTCCGCCTCCGGAGGAAAGTACGGCAGATGGATTAGGAGGGTCAATTTTGGCATTAAGCTCTTTTCGGAGGATGCTTAGCCGGGAGAGATCGTCGACGAGTTTTCATAGTTGTGGAGAAGCAGTTGGTGCTGAAGATATAGAAAGGCACTGACTATTATGGGTACAATCATATATGATCACACTTTCATACGCCAATATTGTATTGATAATAGACACACAGGGCATGTTTGGTTGGGTGGATTAGAGGATGAGATTGAAATTATTAATCCGTGGACTCAATTATTCTATATTTGTTTTAATATTTTAGTTTAGGATTATTAATCCAACAAATTTGTAGGATTATTAATAATGAGATAGAGTGTGATTATTAATCCAATGGATATTAATCCAATTGGATAGTGAATACCATACTAATTTAAGGTCATATTTAATTCACAAAACTAATAGTGAAGTATTAATAATCCTATTAAATTTGTTTTATTAATACTTCAGTATTAGTTTTGTGAATCAAACATGACCATAATGTATCACTATTACATTTATAACAAATATGAGTGAAGTATATCATCACTGTATTGATAACATACATGAGTAATCAGATACATTTCTTGATTACTGACTTCTGTTGGATTGATATCTTCGTTTCTTTTGAAAGGAAGAGAAATGAAAAACTGAGAAGAACACAAATACATTCTAAACAAATAAAGAACCCATCAACAACATTCAAATGACAATTTTCCAACATAAAGATCTCAAAGTTGCAACAACTAAATATATATGGACAAGAGTTTTACAAAGGCATATGCCATTTGGGGCAATGCGGGTTGTTCCCTTCTTCCATTGTGTTTTGAAAAAAACAAAAAACCTACTTGGGTAGCTGTTTCAATAAAAATGTCGAGCAGCCTCCATTTTTTTTAACAGGAACCCATCAATGAGGAATAGAATTGGGTTGCTGGTGCTGGTAAAAATGTGGAGCAGCTTCTAACAGCCAAGAAGGATCTAAAGAGATGACATTGCGCATGTATTGTCGATCAGTTGAGACAATTGAGTGGTATATAACCCACTTTGGATTAACTCTGCAAGACAAGGTTCAAGTAAATAAGATTAGAGTTGCCATATTTACAATGAGTTCCATGATTTTTTGTTCTTTCGTTTCAACACCAGATGTCAAATTTTACAGGACAAATTGAGTTTTTGGTTTCACTCTGACAGCCTACTTTCTAAAAATAGTTCATTTTGATATGGCCTGACCTTGTAGATCTAATTTATTTTAGGGTAAATTTAAACTAAACTCCCTTCAGATTTGGAGAAAATATATCAAGCCCCACAAGTTTGGAATAATCACACTGTCATCAGTTATTTGTTAGTTGCATAGGGAAAAAAAAATGATGTTATTATCTCTTTTACACCGAAATGCATATTTTACTATTGATTATCTCTGTCTCAACAATCCATCTATATTAGTTCCGGTCACTTTAGCATTACCAAAAGGGAGGTCAGTGTAATTATGTCAAACTTGTAAGTTTATTGTATTTTTTGTAAACCTCAAGAGTGGTCAATGTAATTTACCGTTTATTTTATGTATTTTTCTATGGGAGAGGGGATTGCAAAAGAGAATAAAAGAAATCAAGCACAAATAAATTTCCGCAAGAAGGCTACTAACAAAACAATCATATTGACTAGGGTGAGCATACCAACCTGAATAACACAGATGAGGGGTGAATATAAACTTCTTGAGAACTTCTGAGAGTCTTGTACATACCACTGTGGCTGAATGCCTATTGAAAAGATAAGCAAAAAAATCATGAGGAAACTATGTAGAACAAGATTTCATACCATTAAAGGTTATACAATAACAAAAAAGCAAGGATAATTGTGTTGTGTGCATCAGATTTTCATACTCACTTCTAAACGACAAGCGTTAGCAAAAAATCCAGCAGTAACTGCCTTTCTTACCGCCTGCAAGAGGACAAAAAAAAAAATACACTGAATCTGTGATCATTGCATCCTTTAACACTACATTTGGATCTAGGTGAGAGAAGAAAAGAAATGATTTGTGTTTTCTCGCTATCATGTTTGGATGAGTAAGAAAGGAAAACATGTGAAATAGGTATATGTGTGAGATTTCTTTTTCTTCCTTCATATTTTGATGGGTAATCTTGATTTATAAAAAAACATACAACCAATCAGTTGGTTTCTCACCATTTTTGGTGATAAATGAAAATGGCATAGTAAGAGAGTTCTCTCTCTCCATTTCTCACCCTTTCTTACCTATTTTGTAAACCAGACATGAGAAAGAGTTTTGTTTCTCATCATTCTTATCATTTCTCATCAAATCACTCCATCCAAATGGGGCAGTGTGTGAGAAAATAGGGTTCAGCACCCTGAAACATAATAGAGTGAAAAAGTGCCCCAGATACTGACACAGGTAGGTGTTCCTAATTTATGGTACATCCACCACAACATTAATTGCCTTAAACTTCTATAATCAAGTTACAGTTTATCAAAATCAGTGTAGACCGCTGTGGAGTATATACAAGCTTCGTACATTCAAGGGGAAACAAAGAAGACTCCCACAAGGAAAAACAGGATTCGCCCCACTTCTAGGGAAGAATCATATATATTCTCATCTTGCATGAGTAAAAGGTTAGATTCACCACAAGGAGAAGATAATGCAAAGGCAATTTTGAAGACAGTAAATATTTAAACCTTCCATCCATATAAAGATCACTATGTTGTACCACATTACCTGCATATCACTTTCACAAGATTTTAAGACCATGCCGATTCGTAGTGCTATTCTTCTGAGTTGTTCTCTAATTTCAATAACCTTTCGCTGCAAAAGAAATAAATTAAAATCAACATGTATGATATGTCTATGAAACAAATCAGACATCTAAAAGGTCGGAAAACTCTAGATACTTGATTATATCTATGGAGAGAGGAGAAAAAAAAAAGAAGTTTAACTATGCCTGCTTGTGTTTGTGTGTGTGTGGCGGGAAGAGGGGGGAGAGATAGAGTGGATTGTTACACGATCTTAGATAGAACTCAATCCCAAAAGTTAGCTATTGAGGTGAGGGTGCCCTCACACTTATCTACTTCACGGCATTTTAGTAACCAAGCAATGTGGGGTTTCGCTTCACACCCTCCTCACGCCCAACGTGCTCACTCAACAACACCTACGGCATGCAGGCCACAGACATGCACCCTACCCATCCCTTATACTCCGGCTCTGCTACCATGGTACATGGTCTTGGATAGAACTCAACCCCAAAAGGTAGCTATTAAGGTGAGTGCGCTCTTAGGCTTATCTAATTCACGCTATTTTAGTAACCAAAATGATGTGGGACTTCGCTTCACAGCAATTAGGTGGTCGGTGCAGAAGTGGCAAAATTGGGTGAGGTCATTCTTGTAAGGTGTTTTGTGGGTCAGATAGTTTTGAGTTCTCTAGAGTGTTAAGTCTGCTTTTTCATAAAGTCTGCTGCTTTGGAAGCATGTTGGTAATCAATAATTTGTGGAAGAGTAGTCAACTGCTACCTATTTGACATTGCATGTGCAGGAAGGCAGAGGAAACTGAACATTAGTTATTGTGAGAGGACGAGAGATTTTTTTTCCCTAAACCCCAATGAGTTGGCTTGGTGATCAGTTACTTGGCCCTTGGAACCTCATGAAGCATCAGGTCTAAAGTTCGACTCTCATTGGGTGCTATCAATCCCTTTGGAGCCACCCCCGCAGGCATAGCCCGAGATTTGCCCAACCCGCATGTATGGGGCACTTTGAGTAGGTCTTGGGATTATAGTTGGAGTTTACCCAGATACCCAATTATCAAAAACCGAGTTTTTTTTTTTTCTTTTCTAGCCAAGTTACAGAGACTTGACCTTGAGTCTCATTATTGGGGCATGTGGCCTAAGCCGTGGGGTGTCTCCAAGGGCACAGTGAATAGAGATATATGGAGCATGTTATTCCGCATTTTGGGGGTGCAGTGAATTATGCCATCTCCAAATTGTGAGCTGCTTGTGTGATGGCATAGTGGATGTGTTAAGAATACCTGAACTCATATTCTTCCTGTAAATTTTATTGATGATTTGAGAGTTTTGGAGGAGGCTTAAAATTTAGCTCCCATACAGTTTACATGTACATGGGTTGCACCCCCATTTTTGACACGTTTAGTGGATCATTATTTATCACCTATTGGATACAAAAGATACATATAAATATATACACAAAAGTTCAGCATATAAATATTTAAAGCAACTCATAAAGATACTCACCATGGCATGGTAGTTTACAAAGTTCTTATTGCACCATTTTGAAGATTTTCCAGACTGAAGAAATCCTTTGTAGACATTTAGAAAGGTCACATGATCACCCTGCAAAGTATGGGAAAAACAAATGGTACAACACATGTACTCACAGGTGGATCAGATGGTAAATTTAAAGTGCATGCACACTCACACTCTAGCGTTCCTTTTTGTACATTCAGGTATGTCAGATACCAAATCCTCTAAACATAAGATCGTAATGATTCTAAACCAAGATAGTAGGCTCTGATTTTATATGAGCATGGATGACAAATGAAGTAAACCAAACATTAAGTATAGAAGTTTCAAAATTCAATACTAAGTCAGGAATGAACTTACTTACCCAAAAAGAAAAGTCAGGAATGAACATGCAGAATTTCAGAACCTGACTTCAGCCCACTTTCTGAGTAAGCAGATGAACATTGACTAGGACTGATTAGTTAAGGTAAAAATGTTAGTTAGCTTGATATACATTATTGGGCCTATTTTCTAATAGCTTGGGTTTTTGGGATAAGTGGTGATTTAACATGATATTAGAGCTCAAGTTGGGAGAAGTCATGGGTTCAAGTCTCTCCGTTTGAATTTAATCCCCATTTGCATTATGTCTCTTGTTGATATCCTTTCTTTTCTCCATGTATGGATATTTGCATCTTCTCGTGTAAGAGGAATTGCACATGAGGGAGTGTGTCAGATAGCTCGATATAAATTATTGGGCCCATTTCCTATCAGGTTAAGCTTTTAGGGCAATTGTTGATTTAACAAAAAGGATGTCCAAGCTAACCCTACATCATATGACCACCATTACCACTACCTGTACTTACCATTTTTAGTTTGATTTTTTTTGGGATAAATGCCAGTACTTACCATTTTAGAAGACTAGGTTCAAAGCCATAAGAAAATTTTCAAGCTGAACACTAAAATGTTTACATGCACAATAGAGCATGAATTAATCCAAAATACACATGTTAGAGCTTTATAAGAATGTATACGATACATGCCAACTATGCCAAAGAAACGTTGACTAGAAAAGAACAGAAGAAGAAAACACAATGGCCACAGCGTAAACTCTCAAATTCTTATTAATCAAAAGTTGCCTAAGCATGGTACATAATTGTCTATTTATAAGCATCTTGGAAACCCTTACTAAAAGTTACCAAAAAATAAAACACTTCCAAAATATAAAACATTATAATGTAAACTGTTACAATTATTAATGGAATGTGTTTTTTCGTCCTCAATATATATATATATATATACCAAAATGAATGTGCATGCGTATATATTCATTTTCAAATAACAAAAAGCAGAAAAAATAACTTGGGTATAAGCCCCAAAACAAATACTAGCTGAGAGTTGAGTACATGAAAACTGATGGGAAAATGGTATCAGACCTCAGCAGCAGCAAATCTTAGCTTGGCTTCATCCAGCTGCTTTTGTTGCCCCCTAGCAGAAATCCAGATAGACTGCAAAACGCAATTAAGAAATGATATTTGTCGCCCCCTACTACTCAGCTGGAATATTTGCACTTTTTTTTACTCTTTACAATACGAGCAGATTTTTCCAATTGTTCAGGATACATTTCATATACAAGCAAAAATGCAAGAAATAAACAAAAAAACAATAATAGTATAGGGAAAAAAATTTCACCTGAATGGAAAGAACAGCAGCTATAGTGATGATTTCCTCAGAACAGCCCAATTGATTCGAAGCTAAGATCATTTTTGAGATCATTGGATCCTACAGAAAATTGTAGTCGTCAATAATAAATAAGGACAACAAAATTCCTTTTTTTAATCCATTGACATTCCATGAGAAGGTAGAAATCAAATATGTATGCATTTAGAATGAGAAGATATCCTCTCAGTAATCTCAAAGATCTTCAGCTTTGATACAAAATTGGAATACAGACCTATCTAAATCATTTATTCAAAGATTTGGTAGGCAGCTGTGTAAACTACACTGTCCTCTTCTTTTAATATGTTGGTGAAGAAAAATTAACCATACTTCCAATTCTAGGTCAAAATTACATCAATTTTATTCCCCACAATATCCTGGGAACAACGAGCAAGAATGTTCAAACTTGAGGAAAAGAACATAATGTAAATATTTATTAGGTAAATTACACTGATCTCCCCTGAGGTTTTTGACAATTGCAGGGACTCCCCCATGGTGTCTAAAATTACACCACACTCTGTTACTTTTTCAACAATGTACACAAACCTTCCCTTGTTAACAATTTGTTACTAACAACAGAAAATGAACACATGCTCTCATCTTCATAAAAAATAAAAATACCCCACTTAACCCTCATTGAAATTTGTTAATCTTTAAAATTTTAAATGTTCATGAACTACCATTTCAAGTTAAGTGAAACGGAAAAAGGAAGAAATAATAATAATCAATGATTGACCAGTGGGGGAAAATAATTAGCTAACCTATTCAGAGCAAGAAATATTGATTTCTACGATAGCCATGCCAACATTTCATACTATAAAATTCATTTTCTGCATAATAACATATGTAAAAGGAGCACAATAATTTACATTTTTTCCAGTCCAAAAACTAACCAGCAATTACCCTAAGCAAACAGAAAATGCTAATGATAAAGCAATTGTACTAGTGAAAAACGGATACATATGCATAGAATATGAGAAAATAGCATGAAAGCAACATACTAATGGTATCTCTGCAATTTGGAATCCAGTAGGTGAGGTAAGTTTGGCATCATCATCAAGGACTCCGAGTGAATAAAGTACTTCAAGTGCTCTGATCATTGCTTCAGGTGACGGAGATGCAGGCCAATCAAAGCCTAAGATATTGTCTATACCCAAGGCCTTTAACTGTGAGATCAAAACAAATAGTCAACATCCACAGAACTCCAAAAGCTGCCTTCTCAACGTGGAAGTTCACACAACATTGCAAAAAAGCCAACTTCATATAAATTTTACACAAACATAAAATCAGTTTTAGATCAAGGAATAAAAATAAAAACAAATCTCACCTAAAGTTCTTCCTTATTCACCGAATATAAACTCTGATGGAACATAATAAATTATACACTTGTTTCTATTTACTAAAAAATCATCCAACATCTGCAAATCTATTATTAAAGGCAGGATCTATAAGTGCTTCTGTAAACCTGAACTTTAACAAATACAGCAAACTGATACCTTGAACCCAGCCCCTCTGACACACCCATAGCATACAATGTGTTGCTTTCATGCCTATTAAGAATATCTAACAAGAACTATTTCTATTTGCCTCTTTTTGTCAAAAGAAAATATTTGAGAATAAAGAAAAATCTGAAATTTATTAGAGAACATGAGAAGTAGAAAGGAAAAAATGACAAATCAAGAAGTGAAAACATAAGAGGCATGTGGTTAATTTTATATTTTCTTTCATTGTTATTAAGAGACATTTTCTATTAACACTACCACTATTTTTTTTTTTCTTTTTTCCATCCTACTACTAATGGAATCTAGTATTTATTATGTTTTATCTTATGATGACAAACCCTCTTATCCAATTAACCCTTTAAACCTTTTGTTTAGGAGCTTCTAACGTTCATTGACCTTTGTTAAACTTTAATCATAATAAAAATAAATAAAAAAATTAACCTTTTTTTTTCCCAAAAGACCTCCCACGCCTTGGATTTACTATTAATATTGCTATTGTTGTTATGTCATAGTTTGTAAATTTTTGTGTTTGGAATCTTATGTATATTTAGAGTTGTATGCACTTGTGCATGAAACATTGGTTTGTTTGACAATAATTTGATATTTCTCAGTATGCATTGAATTTACTTTCAAATTGTACACTTGTACCCTTTATTTTATGTAAAGAGATGGGTAGACCTCATACGTGTTCAATTATTTGATTATTGAGCTTGTATAAACATTTATATGTATTCACCCAAAAAAAAAAAAAAAACATTTATATGCCCTTAAATTTTTGTTAATAAGCATTTTGTAGATTTCCAACAAATAAATTTATCACTTCCCTTATGTTTCTGAGACATTTTCAAAATGTTTCCATTTCCGAGCTAACTGAAACGAAAATTTGATCTCTGTAAAAGGAGGAAGTTTCTAATGGATTGCTGTTGTATGTTTAAGGGACAGGGGAGTCTGTGAACTCTTTTTTTGCATTATAAAGTCACCATGGAGAATTAGAAAATGCTATTCTCAATTTTTTATATGGTTTGGGTGATGTTGGGATTGGTGAAGGAGCTTTTTGCTCGTTGGTATAGAAAAATGTCTGAGACGAGGTAATAGAAAGGCCTTGGAGGTGTCTCCCTTATGCATCATCTGGTGTATTCGTAGAGAAAGAACTTATAAATATTTTGAAGGTAAGGAGAGTTTCAATTGTGTTTGAAAGGAATAGTGTTACCGTAATTAGTTTTTGGCTTAGAGAAGAATTTCCATTTTTTTATGTTCTTTTGTAGAATTTTTGGGGAAGTGGTACATCCATGTACATATATAGGGAAGTTTTGCTTTCTGTTTTGTTGATACTTTTGTATGCTCCATTCATACAAGGTTGCACCCCTTATGACACTTTTAATATAAATACATTTACATTTTTTTTTTTTAAATTTGAAGATTAATTTTTGTCATTTATTTAGTATTTGTTATTTTAGGATTTATTAGGTTTGTTTTATTAATCAGGATTTAATTATCATTTTCATGTTTTATTTTCGACAATTTTTCATTAGAGTTTGGGGTTGCAAATAAATAGGCCAATATATAATGGGTTTTGGAGACCTTGACGGGAATATTGAGAAAGTGGATATTGAATTGGGATTGATATTCTTCCCTCTTTCTCTCTTCCCCTCTCTTCTCCTTCTTTCCTTCTTCTCCACTCTATTTCTTCCCTTCTCTGCTGCTCATTTTTTGCTCTCACTGTGCTGCATCACCCAGCCCACAGGAGGAGAAACTAGGTGAAGACATTAGGAATGCTAAGAACGAGCAATAAAGAACTCCATAATTCTTATCACCACTTGTTATCTCCAAGTAGAATAAGAGAAAGCTCAAGGTGTCAAAGACAACAATAGCAATTTAGCAAACAAGGATGGTACAACTATTAGTAAGGTAGATGTCGTTGCAAAATGACCGAATTGCTATACCAAAGAGATGCAAAACATGCACAAATAATTTTGTCACCCTGGGAATTCAGACCCACTTGGGATATAGTTTGATAAATGACAAACCTTTGAACTACACTCAAAATACAGAATGAAAATTAGTGATACACATAAGAACTTGCATACCTGAATCACACAAGAAACAAGATTTGATCTCTGCATCTCTGGTATCCCCTCAGCAGACATTTCTTTGACAAAATGCTCTTCTGTATACAGCCTGGTTATGACCACCAAAACTTTTTCATAAATTCATTACACAGAAAAGTAATGTGCTTACGTGCATTGAAACAAGCCTTAGAGCAACTAACTGATTTCACCACATTAATAATACTTAAATTATCACTTTTGACAACCAAAAGTGAAAAGGTGTCATCATCCACTACCACTAGAAATGCTTGCAGTAAATTAGGCACCTGTAACACTTTCCAGGTCGTACTCTTCCAGCTCTACCAGCCCTTTGTCTAGCAGATGCCTTGGATATCGGTGCTACAACCAAATTTTCGATATCTGAAATCTGTAACAGGATGTTGATGTAATTATAATATGAAAAGACATACACTGAGACACATAAATAATTTACTCAACAATTAAGCAAGTCCTGAATAATGGAAAAATAGGAAACTTAATAATGGAAAACATCGAATTTGAGTCCTGAAAAGGAAGTGTAGCATGTGCACAAAAGAAACACTATATGAAATCATGAGAATCTGTAGATTAAGATCAAGTTTTTGGTTAGTCGTCAATACAATTAGTTACACACAAATTGATCCACAATTTTAACAACCCATAAAGAGCAGAAAATGTGTAGTACTAGCAGATAACACAAGCCCTGATAGATCCTTAACCAAACCAAAATGAGTGACCAATTGAGACAATTTATGTTACATCATACATGGACTCAGATAGAGGTGTTGGGTGGGGGTGATATCTAGAAGTCGGACCTATCAAATCTTAAATTTAAGGGAATGCAACTCAGCAAAAAAGAGGTTAATTTTTTTTTTTTTTTTTTTGGGTGATAAATATGCAAACTTTATTAAAAAAGCATTAAAATGATGATAAGAATACAAAAATTCAGTCCCCTAAAGGGAAAAATGCTAAGTTATTAAATCCTCTACAAAATCTACAAAAGCCAAAACATTCAGATCAACCAACCCCGTAACCCAGTTATATAACACCATATGCAACCGCCTCTCCAACCAAGGAATTGAATGAGACACCCCTTGGAATACTCGCATATTGCGCTCCAACCAAAGAAGCCACATTAAACAATGAGAAGCAATCATCCATGCCTTCCGACGCCTCCTCCCAACCCTACCCCCAGCCCAACTTTGTAAAACTGCCAACACAGTACCTGGCTGCACCCATACCAAGCCAAAAGTCGCAACAATAAGCATCCACAACCGAGAAGCAACTGCACAATGAACAAGCAAATGGCCCACCGACTCGGCATCACCATAACACAAACAACACCAATTCACAAAAATATGCCCATGCCGCATTAAATTATCAATCGTCAGTCCTAAAGTCGCTGTCCACACAAAAAAAAAGCTACCTTAGAAGGCGTGCCCAACACCCACACACATTTCCATGGGAAGAAACCCATATCAACGTGAACAAACGCACCATAGAATGAAGACACAGAAAAAAGCCCTATAGAACCCGAGCAAACCCAAACCATAGAATCCTCCTCCTACAACCCCAATTTGCAACCCGTATAAGAAACCTAAAAACTCCACTAGTTGATCCACCTCCCAATCCTGAACACATTGATGCAACCGCACATTCTAAACAACCGCCTATCCTTGTCCAGTCCGAACCTCCCCCATCATAACCTCACAATCTTCTGCAATCCCAAAAATCAAAGAGAACATCTGCTCTAAAGGAATGTCACCACACCACCTATCACGTCAAAAAGAGGTCATATTTTTAAACTTTTAATCTATTATATATGTAACATGATAGTGTTAAAACAAATATATAAGGAGTATTTGATGGAAAGTATTGGACATATATCCCATTAATCAATAATACATACAATTTATCTCTATCAATATATTTTTACAGAATGTCACCACACCACCTATCACGTCAAAAAGAGGTCATATTTTTAAACTTTTAATCTATTATATATGTAACATGATAGTGTTAAAACAAATATATAAGGAGTATTTGATGGAAAGTATTGGACATATATCCCACACCCTTGTCCAAGAGTTGGGTGTCCGCCACAGATACTCGATTTATTTTGAAGAGTCTGTGTAACATGGGCCATGATGCTTTTGTAGCTATTAATGTTCTCAACAGGGTATTTTTAAGTCATACAAAATAGGCATAATCACTATGATCCCAAAACATAATTTTTTACCACAATGAAATCAGTTATCAATATCAAACATTAACCATTTAAATAACCAAACAACAGTAAAAAAGAAACTTAAGTGTATATGTAAAGATACCGGGTTATAGAATCGCTGTTTCGAGAACCCACTGTCAACTACATAGACAACACCCTGTACAGATAAGAAAAAATCAAAAGAATCAGACCTTATACTGCATATCCTGCTTGGTGCAGCTAAATTTGTAACCTTTCTGAAGTGGGAAGGGGACAAAAAAGGCTGTGTAAAGATGTTACCTCCAAAGTCAATGATGTCTCCGCAATATTTGTTGATATCACCACTTTCCTCTTCCCTCTAGGAGTGGGGGAAAACACGAGGTCCTATAAAGAAAACAGAAAGGATATTGAAGTAAAAAAAAAAAATTGGAAAAAGATCTGCACAACATTATTTAACTAAACCTAGGAAATTACTAACCTGGTCTGCACGTGAGAGACCTGAATATAAAGGCAGAACAACCAATCCTGTAAACAAAGTTTTAGCAGAATGATTGTCAAGCAAGCTAGGTAAATTAAAGAAGATTTCACGGAAGATAAACACCATCCTTATCACTGTAAAAAATCAAAGAAGCAGAGGACAGACTACAGAGAAAAGAAGTACGGCATTATCTGATAGTTATTGATACAGGGAATATTAAGGTGGTTCATGTAATAAATAATGCGGAAATGAATTCCTCTTGTCAAGACATGTGCCCCAACAAAATAAGAAAGGAATGTCATGCCACTAGTCCTGATTTAGATTTTCATCCCCCAAGTACGATTTGAGGAAAGAAAAATAACTATGAAAAATATGGAGATTAATGTACCATCTCTTTCTCACCCCTAAACACCTCCAACATGTATCTCCAACCAGGCCCCTGTTATTATAGACAATACACAATGAAGCATGCCTAGTCCTAAGTCCGCTACCAAATAGTTTGTCAAACATCTTTGACCCCACTTGCATTTGAGACCACAAGCGTATCTCCAAGCAGGCCCTTGTCATTAGAGACAATACACAATGAGGTCTGCATAGTCCTCAACCAAATGATTCATCGAAGATCTTCAAACCCATTTACATTTGAGAATATAAATGAGTGCATTCATAAAATGCTCATAAACCACAGTGTTTATACTCTTCCTGATCGGTGAAACTTATGTCAGGCACCAAGTAAACTTTGTAGTTACAGTTATGATAGCAATGCAGTAGCAATCACTTGGTTAGAGAAGAAACACCCTCTTGGGAAAATGAAAATTAAGGCTTTGGTCAGGCAAGTCATCTCCCTTGACTTGCAAAAAGGTAAAAGTCAATATGGAAATACCCACTTGAAGGACATCTCCATAAAATACTGAAAACGATGGGGTCCTCACAATGCTTCATAAAAATGTGAATCCTCTCTTTAGAAAGTTTCCCATTAATTGAAGAATCATCCATGCAATTAGAAGTCAACAAACTTTTTGGAAAGATTCTCCAATTAATTTGATATTTGCTCAAGGTAATGCAACTTTTAACATGAAAATTCCCTCCCAAAGTAAGAAAGAGCTACATTTATTGTAATTAAAAGAGCTCCATGTAAACAGGGATGACTAAACAAAGGCCATAGTCCAATGTTGATCCAGAGAACATGAGCTGCTGAAATGGTAGACCAAATAAAGAAGCGAAAAGGGATCCCTTCTGAAGCCTGCACCTTCTCTATTCTCCCCCATATTCATAGAGGACTCTCAACCAAGAGTGCACTTGATAAAAAAAAAATGGCTCAAAGATTCTTGGCAAGGTAAGAACAAAACTTTCTTCGTTTTTCATACCATTTTATTTAGTCATTCATTTTCCTCATGCTGCACATTTTTACGAAAGGTAATCCATCAGCCACACATAATTTCCTCTTTGGGGAAAATCAAATGTACCTTTTTTCTTTCTTAACATTTTAATTATAAATGAAAATTGTATAAGATGTTGATGTTGATGTTACCTGTTTTTCATGTCCTTGTTAACATCTTAATTGAATCAGCATCACAAGCTAATATGCACCTCATTTTTTGTGTTTTCAATACATGATCCAGATATGGTCTAAATGGACTGGTTCCCCAGATTCCTTAAATAAATAAATAAACATCCATTTCTGCAATATCAAATGGCACGAGACAGAGGACTTAAAACGAGGACAGGACTTGTACCCAAAAAACAAAAAAAAAATGAGGACAGGACTCAAGCAGAAGCATTAAGTTTCATAAGAACTGGAAACCCAACAGACATCCATAATGTGTGGTAATCCAACATAGAGTTAGAGAATGATATATGCACTGGATCAGGTTTACACTAATATAATGGCAGTTGATCCCAGATCCAAATATATTACGGTGATGCTTTCCGGGTCCAAGAATGGTAAACTAGATTCTTGGAAAAAAGAATAATCACCAATCATTTCTTATCTAACAAAATTTTAGAAATTCTGTATTAAAAAACAAAAGTGTCCATGTATCATAACATGAACCATATATTGCTTCGAAGTCATGAAAGCCCAAAGCCAGACAAATTAAATCCCACATATTAATTGGGTTTGAAAATATGTAAACAGCTATAAGTCAAAGATATAGATGCTTTATTATTTGTAGGATCATGCTAACGACAGCCCTGTGGACTGTCATTAACGTGAAGAAAATGCCCAAATAGTTACAATCCCAATGCATTTTTCACCTATTCCCGAACACTTTTACCTTTACATGTTTCTACACACTTTTCACACAATTCTATACACTTTTTACACGTACATCAAGGCTAATGACCACCCATTGGGTGGTCATTAGCATTTTTGTTATCAGTAATTGACAAATGTTAAATCAAAGGTACCTGAAGAAGGCTTTCCATTATTTTGAGCTTCTTCCGTAAGCAACTGGACAGCGGTATCGATATCATCTTGACCAGTTAGGAATACAAGGATATCACCCATTGGTTCCTACCAAACAAATATAACATGTATACCCAATATAAGATTATCTTTCGCTAACAAAATTCTAGCTATATTCATTGTGAACAACAGCATACTATATTCCATACTGCCTTAAATGGAACCAGCACTATGGGAACAATCAACAACAAAATTTCAACTAACTAAACATGTTGTTATGGGCTAGATAGAAGAAGAGAAAACAAGAAACAGTATTTGGGGAAAACAAAACAAGGCTCCAAAAAGGTGACTAAATAACATAGTTTATGACAACAATAGTTATTAAATGTAATGTGTCAGAAATTACCGTAGACAAAACACCGTCTGGGTTATCTAAGAAATTAGTACAAGTTAATGTGCCCAAGTGTTGTTGACTGAGGATCATTAGAGGCTATGCAATTGTTGCTCTACGCATATTTCAAGTGTAACTACAATATAATTCATTTTATCATAAACTTCTATATACCTGATCATGAATTGACATTACTGTTGAAACGATAGCTTGAATATAGTCAGGAACAGGTTCCTCAGCATAAAAGACTTGTACATTAAATCCTCTACCCTGGAAATTAAGTATTAATAATACATCAACTTATTACCACCATCCATGACGAAGTCATAATATCACTAAAAGATTAACACCATTACATACATATATATATATATATATATATGAGTTGTCTTCCAAGATTCAATACAAGTATCATATCACCAGGACAACACACCTCAACTGACAGAATGGCAGGCTCTGTCTTTGGTCCACGCTCTTCACCTTCCAATCCTCGACGTTTTTTGCTAGTTTTCAACAAATGCAAAAAGTTAAGTTCATAATGGACATTGGATACTAGCAGGGAAAAGGCTCAATTGTTGCTTTTTGAACGGATGAATTTTACTAATAAGATAAAACACAAACAAATAATGTAAAAAACTAACTGAACTTGAAAAGGATTCCACAACCATGTTGGAAGAAGTTGATGGAACCATTGAAGTATTACAAGCCATGGTAATTATTTGTACCTGGTTATTTGTATAAAGCCACAATTTTGCAAAATATCCTGTTATAGCTTTCTGATATAATATATATTTTTGGCTCTAAAGGAGCATAAATATAGATTCACAAAAAAAAAAGTGAGGCAACGATGGTAAAATGAAGAAATAGATACGACTCAGATCATATTGATAAGAGAAAAGGCAGACCAACTAATCTGGAATGAACATAGTTTTTTATATGTTGGAAGATTCAAATCTCAGATACACGATTGACAACGTAACCATCTTTTTTTTACAAGTGCACCATGATCATCATATCCTTGTATCTATTTCAGCTATCGTACAGTCTCTTTGGGCTTCCTTTCACATTGTTGCACAAACTGCCATTAGTAGCATGCAAGGAAAGATGCTCTGGCCTTTTCACATTCTCCATTGTGTGGGAGATGTGGAACGAAAGAAAAAAAAAAGTCCAAATTTTAGGGGGACTCACAGTGGGTGGCTTTGGGTGTGTGTGCACATATGCTTTTAATCGATTTTTGAGGTTTTGGTGTCAACAAGAGGGCCAAAACATTGTGCTCTTGTGTAGTCTTTGCTATCTTTTGGATTATTTGGTTGGAGAGGAATGTACGGATCTTCAAAGACAAGGTTGCGGATTCAGATTTATTGTGGGATAAAGTGTATCATTTGCCTTCAGTTTGGCCCTATGTTTCTCCTTTCTTTTTTTGATCAGCAAAGTAAAAATTTCATTAAAAACATGAAATTAAAGGTACAGGAATGCACCGAGAGAGGTTCAGACAGTACAAAATACTCTTACTACTGCTACTCGCACTCATACAACCAACCCGTCAGATCACGAATTTTTACCAAAAAATCCCCCAAAACAAAAACAAATAGGTAAGAAGCACTTAACTCAAAAAACAAAAAACAAGAACCCCAAAGTCCAACCACACTACAGCAAATAAAAACCCAAAAGCAGCACTCTTGATTATTTTATATTAACCACAACATTAATGCCCACTAATCCAAAACATCAAAACCGAGACGCATGCCTAAAGAACTCCTTGCTATTCCACTCCTGACCCTTCTGCCGGCCTTCTCCTACGCCTGACATCTCCATCGAGCTTCACCCACTCTATGGCCGGAACACTGAAACGTCCACGGCCGAAACTCCTACGCCGGAACACTATTCCCAGTGTTTTAAAAAGCGCGCTTAGGCGCGTGCCTAAGCCCAAGGCGAGATGAAGCGCAGCCTTGCGCCTCAAGCATAGCGAGGCGAGGCGACATGGGCGAGGCGCAGCTTAGGCGACGAAGCGCGCGCTTTATTATAAAGCCTGAGCCGTGCGCTTCATGCACTTCAAATGTTTTTCACTCCAGCAGCCCCCATTTGTTTACTGTGTGGATACCCACATGGGATAACATCTCATTTACATCATAAAATGATACAAACGTGGGTCAACAGAGCAAAAACACAAGTTCTCTTCTCCTCTCTCTCTTCTCCTCTTCTCTCTTCTCTGGTTCTCTTCTCTTCTGCTTCGACTATTCTTCTCTTCTTCTCTTCTTTCTTCTGGTTCTGTCATACCCTGTTTTTTTTTTTCTTCTGGTTCGATTCTTCTCTTCTCCTCTTCTTCCTTTCGTTGTCTTCTTCTCGCTTCTATCTTGCTCTCTCTCTGTCGCCTTCCCTCTCGCGATCTCTCTCTCCTGTCTCGTTCGCGATTGCGATCTCTCTCTCGTGTTCTCTCTCACGCTGACGATCTATCTCTCTCTCTTTCTTCTGTCTCTCCCTTTATCTTCTATTCATATATATATATTACTGGAAATTTGTGTTAATGCATATAATAAGATAGTGGCATATGATAGTGGTGTTGGTGGTAGATAGTGGCATGTATATAATATGATAGTGTCTTATAATATATAATATACTTATAGATAATATGTAAAATAAAATACATTAATTATTTAAAAATAAACACATGTATATAAAATAAAATATACTTATGTAAAATAAAAATAAACACATGTATATAAAATAAAATAAAAAAATTAATTAAAACACATTATTTAAAAAATATAATAAATAAATAAAATAATATATATATATTAAAAAATTAATTGTTTTTTTTCTTCTTATTAAAAAAATTAATAATATACATATTAAATATTTGTTTATGTTGAAAATTGTGCTTTATTAATATTTTGCTTAACTCCTATAACTTGCGCTTCGCTTTGGTGAGGCGCGCGCCTCGCCTCGCGCCTCGGGGCTTAGGCTCCAGGTGACCTTGGCGCCTCGATGCGCCTAGGGCTTTTTAAAACATTGCTATTCCCTTTGCAGTACATTACCCACGCTTGACACTTCCGCTGAAACTTCACCTACGCTTGACATTTCGGCCGGACTCCGCCGGACTTCACCCACTCCATGGCCAAAGCTTGCTTCCAATATTGAGACACCCACGGCAAAAACACCTTTTGGCCGAACACTCACACCCACTTCCATGGCCGATCTAACAAACACTACAAGGTCGAAAATACTTCCTCCACAAGCCGATACACCACCTCCCACGGAGACAAAGCTTCTAAGAACCACCAACACCAATACCTCTCATGGCCAAAGAAAAATCCATGGCTGAAAGACCCAAGATCCAACTCCTTTGCAGATACTTGAACAGCAAAACTCACTCTAGAATGTAATTTCCGAGCTCTCCCCAAGAACAACTCCCTCTAGAATGAAGTCGCCGAACATCGTAACTACATCAGAGTGCCTGAGCCGAACGAAACGTCGACCTTCATAGATCTGAATAGAGTTCACCCCTCAAACTCCCACTCTCAAAGGAGCGCCCGAATGAAGCTCCTAAGCAAATCTGGATCATTCCTTTTTTCGGCCCAACGCCGACCTCCGCAAATCTGAATGGAATCCACCCCTCAAACTCCCACTCACATAGAAGCGCCCGAATGAAGTTCCTAAACAAATCCAACCCTCCCATATTCAAGGCGCCTTCCATGGTCGAAACCCCCCAAGGGCCTATGTTTCTCCTTATTTAAAAGGATTCCACTTTTTTTATTTCCAAAGATTGGGGAGCTGTTGGCCAATCTTAGTTTTGTTTTCTTTGATTTGTTTGACAGTAGATTTCTTAGTTTTTCTCCTTTTTTTCTTCTAAGAGGACACCTTGTCCTCACTTTGTTCTCTCTTTTCTTGATTAATAAAATCCTTCTTGTCCCATTGCAACACAAAAAAAAATAAAAATAAAAAATAAAAAATAAATTAGGGAAAATTTAAAGACCTTATATTATATGAATATGAGACAGGTTACCCACACCATTAAGGCTGCTAATTGCTTTGGCTATTTACGTATTTGCATCTGGTTCTAAGAAACAGAAGTTTGATATAGATTATGGAACTTGATATGCAACGAACAAAACCAAAATTGGACAGTTGGCAACCACAGAAAGTAAGGCTATGTTAAACTGCATCCCTCACAGACAATAAAAACAATATTCTACTTATATTCTTAACCAACAGCTACTAGGAAGACCTCAAACATTGTATTTTAGTAGTTGCGACATGGCTTTTGATAGCTGATAACAGCAATATGAGGAGTTGAGGACCCATGAATCCCCGAGATATGAGACCCCAAATATCAAGGTTGCTGATTCACATAGAAGAAAAAAAAGCAGAGAGAGAGTGAGAGAAGGAAAAAAGTCGAACATGTATTGGATCCCAGGTCAACACTAATGGAGGACACCCACGATGCATGGATGTGTGCAGACACCAACAATGGCACCAATAAAATATTGGGCAATTTGGACTTTTCTTGGTCAATTTTTTATCCAATTGATGATGCCTTCAATTAAATTTCTGTAAAGAAGGCATGCCAAATATAGGAAAACAGCAACAGCAACCAAAAAAACTGAAGCTAGAATTCACTGTGATTCAAATGTTGAGAAGAAAAAACCTGTTATGGAAAAAAGCAGCAATTGATTTTGCTTCAATTGTAGCAGATGAGATGATCAGACGCAGCTCAGGTCGACGCCTTTGGATCTGGAATTTCAATAATTAATTTGAAAATAACATGGAAGATTGATAACTAAAACAATAACAATTTCCCCTACGGAATAAAATGAGCATAGATTGATGCTAATTTGTTAAAAAAAGAAACCTTCTTCAAGAGACCCAACAAGATATCCGTTGAAATAGACCGCTCATGAGCTTCATCAACCATTATGACACTGGATGAACATGGTAAAAGTTACAGTCATGCTACATAAGATACATAAAAATAATACCAGAACACATCTATGGTTAGATTAAGTTAGTTGAGACATCCTCAAGATAAAATGTTCAATATTCAGGAAAAATATTAAAAGTTCTAAAAGATGATATTGAAGAGAAAAAAAAAAAAAAGGTGTGGGTATTAATGGTAGAGAATAATTATTCAAATGCAATTGTTAAATCTATGGGAAACATTTTAAAGATGATATTGAAGAGAAAAAAAAAAAAAGGTGTGGTATTAATGGTAGAGAATAATTATTCAAATGCAATTGTTAAATCTATGGGAAACATTTTTAAAATAAAAAAAGTTAAGGATTTCAGATGCAGCGTAACATTGGAGCAACGGATAAGCAAGCATCAACCTACAACTGAAGTTCCAAAACATCATATCAATAGAGAAAAAATTGAATGCGAATGCAACTCAATTTTCCATGGTTGATTTTCTGCTTGTTCTGAGGTGAATGAAAGGTCACCATGGCTATTCAAGGCAAAATATAAAGTGGAAGTTAATTTGATTTCTACTCGATTCCTTAATTGAATAAGTTGTGAGATTATTTTAATTGGCAGAATACCCTGGAAGTGAAAATCCCTGAAACCCAGGGAGATGGAACCTTTTCATTGCTGGCACGAACTTTTCCTTGACTACCCACTCTTCTTACCACAGCTAGTAATTTGCACTTTCAGAATTGTCACTCTCTTTCCAAGATTCATTTGGAATTTGCGATTCCTACAGCTCTTTGTGAGAGTACAACAAAAGTATCCTTGAGGATTATAAGAGATCCCTTTAAGGATGTAAATGATGGTATTATTAGCAGAGACATCTACTGTTACTACTTGACTCAACATAAAAAAAACAATCTTGTTTGACATTTTGTTCAATATAGCACATATTCATTTTGTTTTGAACTTCTTTTGCAAACCTCACACCAAATTTCTAGTTAACACAAGGACTTAGGCCTCGTTTGGCAAGAGGCTATTTTAGCCAATTAGCCAGAAAGTTACTAAATTAGCCAAAAAGCCAACAACCCATACCAAAAAGTCAAAGATTCTCTTTTCTCTCTACTTTTTGCACATCTTTTCGTAATTAGCCAAAAAGTCATCCCAAACATACAAGTTTTTTTTACCTACCTTTTTAGCCAAATAGCCAAAAAGTTACTAAATTAGCCTCTTCCCAAACGAGGCCTTAGTTTACATCTAAGAAGCATGGACACAGACACACGAGACGACACAGACACACCGACACGCTAATTTTTAAAAAATCCAAGACACGACACATGGGGGACACGTGTTTTATATATTTATTATATGTTGTATATATATATATATATGAATATATCATTAAAGATAATAAAAAAATGCAATATGATACTAATTCCTATAAATTTATATGGTTTTTGTTTTATTATTGTATTTTAAATTGTTTTGTTCAAACTTATAATTAGTTTCTCATGTGTCTAATCAATAGAGATACATACGTGTGTTCTCCAAGTGTCTAAAGAGTGTCTGGGTCTTTAAAAAATATTAAAAAATAGGATACGTTTTGAAGAGTATCAGACACGTGTCAGGGAAGTGTTCAAAGAGTGTCGATGTCCGATACGGACACAACACGGATACATCACCTTCTTAAAAGTATCCGTGCTTCTTACGTTAACATCATTTCCCTTCACATACTGGTATTTCAATATTACACAATGCTAGAAAGCACTTTCATCATGTATTAATTGTATCGGCAAAATTCTTCAGGCAAAGGCCTCAAACCATAGTACACCTCTTCTAATGCATGATCAATCCAATATTTCATTTTTTCTGATAATTAGATCTGGATGACCCATCCAACTTTTTTTTCTTTAATATTTTTTTGACATATAAAAGCTAGATGATCAATCCAAGAATAACGAAACAGATTCTTTGCAACTGCATGACTCACAGTCCATCAATTTCCACTAAGTAGAGAAAATATGAGATAGAAATATTTACCTGTACTTGGTCAGGAGGGGGTCTTCCATCATCTCCCTCAGTAACACCCCATCAGTGAGAAATTTAATCCTAGTTAAGTCCTGTGCTGCCAAAAGAATAACACTCCCGGCATTCATGGCATGAAAAATAAAGTTATAAACACATGAAATGGTGTAAATGTACAAAAGTAGGACAATAACTGTCCAAATTATCAAATAACATACCACATGAGATACAATATTTCTAGTAAAGATGCCTCTGTTAAAGAACAAATAATCCTGTTAAAAAAAAATCTAAGAGCTTAATATGCAAGTAAGAATTCTCACTCTATTCGTGAGATCTTCAAATCGAATTGTATAACCAACTTCCTCCCCAAGCTTGACACCCATCTCTTCAGCCACCCTTGAAGCCACTGCCTGTGCATCAGCACAACCTTAAGTTCATAAGAAGTACACTATGATGAGTTGGTTATATTATAGGTAGTAAAGTAAACTGAATCATCATAAAAGAGCAGGCACCAACAGAAGAAAATTGGGGGGGGGGGGGGGTTTGGGGAAGGAAAAGTGAAAGAGTCATTTAAAACCTATCAAAGAAAGTGCAACATAATTGAGGGCATAATTCTTCTATAACACAAAAAAGATACTTAAAAAAAACCGACAAAACAACATTCAATATATAATGTTGCATTGCTTTTCCTAATCTTGTGTCTTATTTTTTTCTTTTTTCTTTTTTCTTTGTTTTGAGTAAGAGAAGTTTATTAAAAATTTGATTATTACAATACAACCCAAGACACAAACTTGAAGGTACACACAATAACATACCCTAAAAAAACAAGGGAAGCAACCTAGCCTATGCAGCAAGAAAAATAATAGCCTTGCACAACCCATGAGGCTGGTAGAACACACAACACTGCTAAAAGCATGCTCTAAAGCCTCTTTTGGTATTCTAAACACAATCACAAAAAAGCAGCCCAACAATCACCAAACAAGGACAACCTTCTGCCAACCCAGACTCGGACTTCAAAACTTCTTCTCTTCAAGCATTTTCCGTTTTCGACCCCGTGATGATGGTGAACTCTTACGGTTTAGGACAGACTTTAGAGGTATGCCCTTAGGTCTCAGAATTAGTCTGTCTTTGTGAGTTAGGTAGTTTCAATTTTGATCTCATTTGCCTCACCACAACCCAAATTTGTCCTCTGGTCGATTTAGAAATTTCCATATTGCTGATACATCAATACAAACTCAAGCAAATGTAAGTCTACTCCTCAAAAATGTAGGCTCATTCAAGTAAAGAAGATTTCCAATGATGCTAGTAATATTCCTCTGTCCAAAGCTCCAAAGAGACGTCATAAAGCTTCACCCACAGGCAAACTACAAAATTCACATTTAGAAAGTTGTATGCCTGGTTGCCAGCAATAATTTCATCCATCGCCTCACTCTTAAAGATGAAAAAAGCATTATCAATATAAACCACATCTTCAAGAACATTGCTCCAGTTCTCCTCAGCCTGAGTTTTCTCAAAGGGAAAACAAAATTTTCTATCCAGAAAATACCCAACTGGTGCATCCTCCCAGTGAGAAAACCCCTTTTGGGATATTTCAAGAGGCATGCTATATATCCCATCCTCACTTGGCAGAGCATGAAATGCACTACTTCTCAAACTCACAGGAAACACATTATCATCTAAGCTTCATCAACACTCGAGTTGGTTCCAAGCGTTACACATCTACAACTTCCCACTTCTCTGCTGCATTGATGTTTGTTCTGCTTCCATTTCAGAATCATTCCTCTTCCCAATTGCAAGAGATTATGGCCCAGAATAAGGTGTGCCAAAATTTCTAAACTGATCAATTTGAGGGAATGATCCTTTCACGTGGAGAATCTAGTAAAGCAATCTTAAGCCTACTTAGATATCCTTTGAATTAATTAGATATCTCAAATATCCTAACAATTACTTGAGATGAAAAGTGCAGACATAAAATAGACAAAGAAGAAATTAGTAAGAGTAAGTATTAGTAACCAGTAATGCTAGGAACATAGAAATCAGACACAGAATGGAACACAACCTTCTCACAAAGGGTGCGTCTCACACATGTGGGCCTCACCCCTTGTGAGAGGGTTGTGTCCCATTCTATGTATGGTTTCTGTACTCATAGTCTTACTCATTAGTAACACAGCTTAGGCTAATAACCTGAACAGCTAATCGTCTTGGCTGAGTGCATGCAATCACACGTCCACCATCAGCCCAACCTGCTTCTTTGAGGTACTGCAATTTCAGTGGACAACAAATACATTTTATCAGAATTTGTTTCCTAAGCTAACTTCCAAAATTCTCGATCAGTATCAAATCACAAAAATCAGCCCCAACAATTCTAACTATATACACACAAACACGCGCACATCAATCATCCCATTTTCTTCTAGTTTCTTTACATGCTAATAATTAATAAATTGATTACATACATAAAATAAAGCCAAATTCGCAAACCATAAATTAAAATTTTAAACTCAAGAATACCAAAAATGAACATATATGTTTAAAAAATAAAAAAATAAAAACATGATGGAATCATTTCCATAAATTATGTTAAACACAACCAAATATCCCAATTGCCAGAGAAAACCAGAGAACAATAAATAGAAAATCTTTCATAATGGCATTTGAATGACAATAAGATAACCATTATATCTACACCCACACACATATAGTTATTCTATTATATAAAGTAAACACCTGAGTTGGTGTATGCTGTCACATTTTTCACTTTTCCAATAATGTACTTCCCACCCAATAAATGTCACCCCTTCCCACCCCATAAGGAACTGTCACATTCAATAATTAGTAGAATGGTTTTTCTTCTTTATCAACCCTAATGAGTTTTCCTGAAATTATCAATTAAACCCATATGTTATGGATAATTTTATATTATATATAGAATAGCCTCTACTTTTTTGAAAAATTATTCCATTAGTTCCTTATATTGCATAAGTATTCTTAGGCCTCGTTTGGGAACAGGCTAATTTAGTAATTTTTTGGCTATTTGGCTAAATATGAGCTAAAAAAAACTAGTATGTTTGGGATGACTTTTTGGCTTTTTACGAAAAGATGTGAAAAAATAAAGAGAAAAGAGAATCTTTGACTTTTTTATATGGGTTGTTGACTTTTTGACTTTTTTAGTAACTTTTTGGCTTTTTGGCTAAACCGGCCTGTTGCCAAACGAGACATTATAATGCATGTGAAGAAGTGGTTTGGAAATACTCTTCAGATCCTGGGAGACGCTAGTGATCCTCAGCTAGTCACCTGAAAAGATACAAACACTCCGGTCGGGGGTGCCGGAATTAACACTCCGACGGACAAGTCAGTTTAGACACTCAGGATAGAATGTTTACTAAGTTAAGTGAAGTGATTCTTACATACCTTTCTCAATCCATTGTTCCTGTATTTATACCTGTTCCTTTTGATCCTCGGGGCCAGGGCCTATTTTTTAATCATTGTCCTTTCTCTTATCCGGCTCTAAGGATCTACACTTATTCGGCACATATAATATATTCGACTTCCCATTCCCGTAGGATACAGCCGATTAATATCAGTCTTCTAAGGTACGCACCTTCTGATTCTGCCATTATTCTGCTTCCACAATTGCCCCCCGAACTCCCCACTGACGGTTGTTAATCGGCGTGTTTGGTCTTGAATTGAAAAAGTCAAAATAGGTCAGACGGCTTTGCGTTCCCTAATACAGATGTCAGAACGCGCACACCTTTTCGGTCATCATTACACTTTCCCGCCTCATTCGTGCGTCTCGCATTTATTGCGATTTGAAATTTCAGTCCTTTCGAGTGCACATTTCGTCGAGTATTCGAGACTCTTGGACCGCCAGCGGGTATCCCTTCTCTGACTCGCATTTTCTGCAATTCTTCTCCGTCTATCCTTGCCCCATTTACTCCTCGTAAGTCTTCTTCTCTCTTCTTTGCAATCCTATTTTCTGTTTGTCATTGTGATTTCGGCGGAACCTTGAATCCCCGCGAAAATGGCTAAACACTTGAAAGACCTCCTCTCTGAGGGTCGTATTTCCGGATTCCGGCGACACTTTTCCATTCCCCACGATGTTCACTTATCTCTTGTAACGGACAGTACTCTTGATATGGAGAGGGAGGATCAAAATACGATCGTCTTCCCTCTCTTATCCATAGCGGATGGCAGAGTCCGTTTTCCCCTACATCCACTGCTTAGGGCCGTCTTTTGCTATTGGAGTCTGATTCCTTCTCAACCCAACGTAAATTTCTTTCGAATCATCATGGGGGTGATAGAGTTGAACCGACGCCTTAGGATCAACCTTGGCATTCCGGCGATTCAGCATTGCTACGCTTTGGCCAAGTCTTCCGGTCGGCTGGGGTGATATTTTCTCAGGGCCAAGGACACTGACCATCACTTGATAACCATGCTTGCCAGTTCTGGTAAGAGAGTTGATGACGTAATGGTCAATGTCCGAGGTAATTGGGAGTTCGGTGAAGGCGAAGACCGCCTAGACCCTATTCCCAGATGGAAGGGTGATCTAGGTTGCCATGTAACGCTTCGTGTTTGTTGATTTGCCATTTATTTGGCATTTTTCCTTTAATCACCCTTTGTTCTTTGCAGGTAACAGATTGAAGAAGATTCTTCCCTCAACCGACGACGCAGTCCTTGAGGAGATCAAGTCTGCACTCAGATACCTTGGTCGTCTAAATGTACAAAAGCAAGGAGGAGTAGCTCACATACTCCTCCGGTACGAACCTACTCATACTACATTCTCGGCTGCAGAAGGCATTCCAGTTCCAATCGACGATCAACACCTTTCGGCTCTGCTATTTCCTAACTTCAAGACCCTTAGGCAAATTGGCCTCGAAGATTCAGATTCGGGGGAAGACGCGGAGCCGGTGGTAGAGGTAATTGCCGAACCAACCAGAGAGGTCGCTGAGGAGGCCGAAGAGGTCGACGAGGCGATACGCTCGGCGTTCGAGGCTGTCGGACTTAACCAGCCTTCACCGTCCACTTCGGGTCGGGCAGAGTTTTCTTCTAGAGATATTTTTGGAATTTGGGAGACCTACCCAGCGATTTTTCCGAGGTATGGCTGGGGAAAGCCTTGCGCAGATGGCGCGAAAGAAAAATGCCGAGCGAATGGCTGCTCGAAAGAAGGCCGAGGCCGCCCATTCTGAGCCCACCTTGATTAAAACTTTCGTACCGGTTATTGAAAAGACGGCTCAGGTTGCTGCGGCCGAAGCGGGGAAAGAGGTTGAACAACAGGTCATTGACGAACAGCTGATTCTGGAGGAGTAGGGCAAAAAGCGTAATGCCGAGCCGAGGGAGAGGCTGGGTCGGAGATTAGCCCTGCTTCCAAACGGCCTCGTTTAGAAGAGTCAGACGTGGTTGCTCCTTTTAT